GGTATGCGGGCCTCTCACTGTTGTGGCCTCTCCCGTTGCGGAGCACAAGCTCCGGATGCGCAGGCTCAGCGGCCATGGCTCACGGGCCCAGCCGCTCCGCGGCATGTGGGATCTTCCCGGACCGGGACACGAACCCGTGTCCCCTGCATCAGCAGGCAGACTCTTAACCACTGCGCCACCAGGGAAGCCCTGACAAGCTATTCTTTAGTCCCAAATGAACAGCAAAGTCGAACTGTGAGGGGAGTCGCTAGACATTCTCAAAGGTAGTACTTCCAGGAAGTCAGCTGAAAAAATTTTCATTTATAAAACCTCGCTAATATTGGAGAAAACCAAATTAAAATGAAGACAACAAAGCAATATAGTCAGTGTTCTAAAAAAAAAAGAAGACTTTCAAGCTCACTGGTTATAGATGTTTTATTTTCAATTTGATTTTAACAAAATTTATTTATTCATCTTTCTTACAGCCCACATTTATATCCATAAGTAAATTCCTTTTACATCCAGTATTATTACCCAGAGCCACAGGATCATCATAGGATTCAGCAATCCCACTTCGGGGTATACATCCAAAAGTCTTACAAAAAGGATCTCATGGAGATATTTGCACATCCATGTTTATCACAGCATTATTCAAAATATCCAGGAGGTAGAAGCAATCCAAATGTCCATCAACAGATGGATGGATGAGGGAAATATGGTATATACATATAATGGAATATTATGCAGCCTTAAAAGGAAGGAAATCCTATCACATGCTACAACATGGCTGAGCCTCAAAAACATTATGCTTAGTGAAATAAACCAGTCACAAAAGGACAAATATTGTATGATTCCACCCATATGAAGTATTTAAAGGAGTCAAAATCGTAGAAGCAGGAAATAAAAATTGAGTTCCCCAAAACTGGAAGAAGACAAGAGAGAGTATTAGTATTTAGTAAGAATAGAATTTCAGTGTAGCAGGATGAAAAAGTCTAGAGATTTGTTGTACAACAGTATGAATATACCTAACACCACTGAACTGTACCTTCAAAAATTGGTTAAGATGGTAAATTTAACATTATATGTTTTACCACAATAAAAAATGCATTTTCCCGTTGAAAAAAATGTGGGTGGTCTTTTGCTGAGAGAAGTAACATGTCCCACTGGATATGTTCAAAGTGTTACTGGCTGAAGGATAATGGTACATTACTACATAATTTCATTTTTTTCCCATAACTTCACTGTGTTGTCGTCCCCTGACCTGTGAAGTTTTATACAGATGTAGAACTTCTTGGTAAACCTTCCCTCCTCCATTCCTCTCCCCACCCTTTACTTAAAGTTCTGTTCTTTTATATGAATATAAATAAATAAATCATATATATATATAAACATATATATTATATGTGTGTGTGTGTGTGTACAGCCATGGGAGAATTTTTTATTTTATTGAGTTTGTTGCCTCCTTTCAAGAGTGGTGAATGAAAATATCTAATACCTAGTGATTCTTGCCTGTCTGCTTTGTTTTACATATGGAAGCTCCTGTTTCCTTGTCTCTGAATATTCAGTCTTTGTGAAGCCTATCTGGGATGGAGAGGCAGAAATCTTTAGCAGTAGGGTAGTTAAGAGTTAATCTGCATATGGGCACCTCACTTCTTCATGAGTGTTGCCGGCCACTTGAGACACAGTTCTGCTCCATATGCCCGGGAGGGCATCCGCCCACGCTCACTACCTCCTGCCCAGGGTAGATGTCTCTGCAGTTTGCTGCTTGCACTAAGTGGGGGAGGGTAATTTGATGATCAGGGGAGATGTTAAACAAGGAAAGAAGCATGTTTTCTCTGATTGAGTGGAATAGCCTATACAACAACCTGGGACCTCTCTTGATCCCATTATCTGTGGCTTTTGCCTTTGAAACATGCTTGGAAGCCATGTCCATTTTTTTTCAAGTTTCTTTTCCTGCACTTGTCTTGGGCTGTGATTTCTTTCTTTAGCCTAATTCTTTCTACTTCTTACTTTTTAGAAAACTCTCATACTTTCTGATTTACAGAATGTATCTCTTCTTGTTTTCTAGCACATCTACAAGTTGCCTTTAATACATTTTACATTATTTATTAAAATTGGAGGGGGGAGGAGAAGGCTTCAACCTTATTATTCTGTCTGCCTTATTGAGCTAGAAGTCAAGTTCTGCCTTTCCTTCTCTAATAAATAGAAAAAAATGTTATCAGGCTCTCTATCAAACTCAGATGCCTGACACATAATGAGTAAGTATTCAATAAATGTTTTTTGGTTGTTGAATAAATTGTTATTCCCCAAATTTAGGTTATAAATCTGGTACAGAGCTTACATGTAGTGGAACCTCTCGTTTCCTAGCTTCCTCAGCTTTTAGATGGAGATAATTACGGTAAAATTGTTGTGAAGATTAATTAAAATAATATACATAAAATTTTGGGCACATAGTATTGAGAAATGTCTGTTTTTATTATCACTTTGAACTATCATCATTCAGCTTTTGGCTGTAAGTTCGGTCAAATAAAAATAGGACTCTGATTATTTAGCCAAACACATTTTTTGTCAGGCACTATTTCAGGTGCTGCAGAATCAGTAATGAGCATACTGGCAAAATGATTTATTGATTATTAAAGAAATACTGAGGCAAACTTTTACCTAAATCCTTATCATCAAAACACTAATTGGTAAAATCAAAGAGGAGACAGTTTCATAAAGTAACAGGACATCTCAGTAAGCAGATACAAGCATAACCAGATGTAAAACCTGTCCTATATAAGAGCAGCTTTCTAAAAGTTCAGAGAAAGATTTTGTAATGTCCATGTCTTCAATCTTAAAAGGAAGATTAGCTCAAGACAAAAGAGAGACTCAATAAAGTCAAAATTCGTACAGTATAATCCTAAATTGGTTTTACAAAGAAGAAAAGGGTAACAGATGCAAACACAATGGCTACAGTAGGATTCCTCCAATAAGCTAGGATTTTAGAAGGACATGAAATGAGTTAATATAGACAGATTTATAAATGTGCTTTCTTTTACTCTATAACCCTGAGAGATGGGCATTTTTAACCATGTTCCTAATGTGAGGCTGAATTTCAGAGAAAGAATGATATGATGATTTTCTCAGAACATAAAAAATTAAATAATAATAAAACTGAAATCTCCAATGAAAAATACTAAAAGACAAAAGCATAAGGATAGAGAATTTAAGATTGAGAGATTTCAAAACAGAGATACGAATGTTCACAATCATCAAATAGATTTTAAAATATCACAGGCAGAAAGACACAGCTAGCATTGAGATAAGAGGTAAAGTCTATATTTACCTGCAGTCGTGGCAGGTCAGTCCTTTGTTTATGATGGCAAGAGTCTTAGAATTAAGGTCAGAAAACATTTCCAAGTTTCTACATTGCCATATGTACAGCCATGATTAACTCAGTTAACTCATAGGAACCTCAAACAAATTTACTCAGCAAACATTTATCAAGCAACTACAATATGGCAATTCCTCCACTAAACCTTGGAGTTGAGACAGGTACAGAGTAAGAAAGGAAATAAAAACAATTAAGATGTAATAAATGCCCCCAAAGAACTAATGTTTCCCTGGGCCAATAAACAATTAATGCCAGTATAATAATGTAATTAGTACTGTAATTGCTATACAGTTTTAAATTTATGAGTACACAGAAAAAAGTGATTAATTCTGTCTACACAGGTCAAAGTTTCTATAGATGTGCTAACATTTAAACTAAGTCTTTAGGGGTTAATAGAAGCTTAGAAACCGAAGAAGAAATAAACATTTAAAACAAAATAGGAAACACATGAAAAGCCCCAGAGTAGTGAAAGAACACAGATCATTTGAAAAACAAAAAGAATATCTGTGGGTGGAATATAAGGATAGAAGTATGCCAACCATTGGGAGATCAATCTGCATTTTTAAGTGTGATGTAAGGAGATTAAATTTTAGAGGGCTAATTCTGGTAGCCATGAGGAAAATGAATTTATGGCAAATAAATTAATTAGAAAGCTGATTTCAGAAAAAAAGATGAGCAGAGATGGGAAGAGAGGACTAAAAGGTTACAGACACACTCGGAAGAAGTTTAAGAGGAGAACCAATAAGATGTGGGAATAATGGAAAATAAGTATTCTGATTTTGTTTTATAGTTTGTATAATCGTATGTAGTAATACTATTATTGGGGATGAGAAAAAGAGAAGTCTTAGGGTTAAAGACAATGAAATCATCTTTTAAAAACTCAAATTTGAGATGCCTAAAAATAAACATCTACCAAATAGACACAACTAAGGCAGGGGTTGTGCTCAAGAGAGATTTTTCTGGAAGTAGTTTTGAGATTTACCAGGGGATAACTGTACAATTAATCCATATTCAGGCTTATTCCATTAAAA